GAAATCATCGTTCTTTTTAATTTAGTGTCTTTTTCCAAGAGAAAACATGGTCCTTCGACTGACTACGAACATTTGTTAAAAAAGTGTGAAGAAGAATTGCTCGCATTGTCCGAAAGTGAACAAGAAGAAGACGTTCTAAACATCGAACTATCGCCGCGCTCGACCGAAGTCGGTTCACTAACCCCGAAGATAAAAGAGCTGCAACAACAAATAACAGTGCAATTCACGCCGTTGTCACCGATATCGAACGAAAATTCGCATACACACACACAACACCAATTGAAGTCAGTTGTCGTAGTTCCGCCACGCAAATCAATCAGTAACGCAAGTTATCATCCACACGCATCTCACTCTCATCGCTCATCCAATCATTCACACATACACAACTCAACCAACACCAATCTCTCGTTCAACGCACACCGTTCATCGCACGCACTCAACTCGGCCAACGCACATCGCTTATCTCAATCACATCTCTCACCTTACGCACATCGTTCGTCTCACGCACACAACTCAATCAACACACGCCGTTCGCTCAACACACTCGCACGCACGCAGCCGCAGACTCGCAAACGAACTCCAACACAATCGCATGAAGAGGTGCGCAAACGAACAAAATTCACTGAAGCGTTGCCGTTAAAAACTCAATGCAAGGTAACAAAAAAAGAGGAACAAAATTCATCTTTTGTTACGAAACACAATTTTGCTCAAAACTTCAAAATTGAAGTGAAAAACGATAATCGGCCGAATAAAGAAATTGAAAGGCATATCGTTGATCAATTTGAAGGAACAACAGCCAAAGAATCAACTCGAATCGTGCCATTACTCAACAAAAACGCTCCAAAGGGTGTTCACCTCGCCATTGCAATAGATAAGTCTACTCATTTGTCAAAAAACGCACTCAAGAGAATCACTCGTAACTTAGCTAATGAATACTTGTAAAAATCGCTTCAATTTTTGTTGCACATTTTAATCTACCATCGTACACTCAATACCCTAATCATTTAAATTTCAACAGTTCAGTTTAACATCGCATTCAAATTACATTCCACACAGAAAATCACTCGCATAAATTCTTTCAGTCAAAACGCACATCTTAAGTAAAACCGTTAACTCATTCATGTATACTTGCACTTAAACATACATCCCATACCAAGCACTGAAAAAAGTCTAGAAAATAGCATTACCATAGCATTAGTCTTCAATAATTTTACATTCTCTTTAATTTTTATACATTTTTTCATTACTTTTAATAAAAAATACTTCAATTTCCAATTAATAAATAAATCCACAAAAGAAACAGTCGTACACCGAATAAAAACAATCAATTCCTTTTCATTTAACCTTAAGAAATCATTCATACAAAGCGTGCTGCACAATACAATTTACACAAAAACAAATACATTCATAAACACTTCGTCAAGCAACTCGAATAAATAAAACAATTTTGTAACAAAACTCATTCTTGAAAATCAATTTACAATGGCTAAAGGTAAAGAATACGACAAATTACTAAAAAAACGCGCTAACGCAGTCAAAGCATTACAGTATCATGAGAAAAAAGTGAAAGACATGTCAAAAGACGCATCGAATGCCGAAGCGTTCAATCGAATGTCTGAAATTGAACATAGTTATGAGCGTTTTAAACTGATAATATCGGAAATGGAAGAATGCGATGAATTTGATTTCAATGATTTAGATCCTCCGACTGAAGATATTAGGGAAATTTTCATCACAACAATGGCAGTTTTGAGAATCCATACTCAAGGTGCCGACGGGTCCTCTGTTTTAAATTCAACCACGAATACTCGATCAGAAAAAAAGGTGAAACTACCGGATATTGTAATACCCACTTTCGACGGAAACTATAAAGAATGGACAACGTTTTATGATTCTTTTCATTCATTGATCGATCAAGATACCGAATTATGCGATGTAGATAAAATGCATTATTTAAAAGGTTTATTAAAGGGTACAGCATTTAAAACAATCAGTAAATTACCAATCACAGAAGCGAACTATAAAATTGCTTGAAAATTATTACGCGAACGTTTTCACAATAAAAGAGTCATAGTAAATACATGTTTAGACACAATTTTTAGTCAAGACAAAATCGAAAATTTATATGCTTCATCGGTGCGTACTTTAATTGATACAACCAAAGAGTCGCTTCAGTGCATCGAACAATTGGATGTTCCTGTAGAAGAGTGGGATGCAATTATCGTTTTTATCATCCAAACAAAAATGCACGTTGCGTTACAAACCGATTGGGAGAAGCAAGTAGGAGCCAGTTCACGAATCCCAAAATTTTCTGAGTTGATTGCATTTTTAGAAACTCAATTTCGTGTGTTGTATACCGCAGAAAACAATTTCAATTTGAAATCATTTAATTCAACGGCAAAACATCAACCCGCTGTGAACATGAACGCAATCTCATCAAACGCCACTTCACCTAACACAAAACCACAAAAGCAAAATCAATGCGTTTTGTGCCACGAGCCTCATTATGTATTCTTCTGTCCAACATTTGAAGGATGGTCAGTGGAAGAAAGAAAGAAATTTGTCAACGAAAATCATCTGTGCCCGATTTGTTTTCATAAACACGAAGAAGCGTGCCGATCGAAATACCGTTGCAGAGTGTGTAACGGAGCTCACAACACGAAACTACACGAGAATTCATCATCAACAATAAGAAGCGGAGTAAATTCAGTGCACACTTCATCGAGTGATTACGTGGGTATGTACGAAAATAAATTGTTAGCAACCGCCATCGTAAAAGTTGAAGGCAAAAACGGAATCAAATATTTGTTTAGAGCGTTCATTGACAACGGATCACAAGGTGCAATAATCTCAGAGCGCACAGCTCAACTTTTATCTTTACCTCGTTTTCTCCAAAGTATGGAAATGACCGGAGTCAATAACGTTCCCCTCGGAACCGCGAAAAATTGTATGAAATTCGAAATTGAATCAAACACAGATAGTTCATTTAAATTAAAAATAAATGCATCAATTATGCGCTCGATTATTGCTGCTCGAAAATACATTCCGCCAGTCACGAACTGGAAACATTTAGACGGGCTTACTCTCGCCGACCCTGACTTCATGAACGCCGCTCAAATCGATATGTTACTCGGTGTTGATATTTACGGTTTAATAATTCAAGACGGTTTGAGAAAAGGATTACCAACGGAACCAGTCGCTCAAAATTCATCTCTCGGCTGGCTCGTGTTTGGTGCAATGTCTGATAAAGAAAATTGTAGCGTTCGCATAAACTCGATTTCACTATCTAATCAATTACAACGTTTCTGGGAAAATGAAACAATATCATCTAAACCAATTTTATCCGAAGAACACGACCAATGCATGAATCATTTCAACAAACATTTCAAGCGTTTAGATAGCGGTAAAATAATGGTGTCATTGCCATTTGCGACTGATCCAACCGATTCAAACTTCTTGGGTAATTCACGATTTAAAGCATTACAACGATTGTATCAAATGGAGAAAAAATTTAAAAGAGATCCCGAATTTCACCGCCGTTACAACGAAGATATTCAAGGTTATTTAGATTTAGGTCACATGTCTCTTTGTAATGATTCAAATGATGGATATTATCTTCCACACCACGGTGTGACACGCGAAAGTAGCACGACAACAAAGCAGCGGACAGTTTATGATGGATCCGCAAAAACTTCAAACGGTTACTCGCTTAACGATCGACTTTTGAATGGGCCAACCATTCAGCCCGATTTATTTGATATTTTCATTCGCTGGCGTTTGAACAAAATAGCGATTGTGAGTGATATTGAAAAAATGTACCGTCAAATTCTTGTGGCCCCCGAGGACCGAAAATACCAGAAAATACTCTGGCGATTTTCGGAAAAAGACCCTATTCGTGCATATCACATAAATGTTGTCACTTTTGGCCTCAAACCATCCCCTTTCTTAGCTATAAAATCCACGTTTGCACTCGCCGATGCTGAAAAAGAAAATTTCCCTTTAGCAGCAAATAAAATAAAAACTGATATGTACGTTGATGATTGCTCAAGTGGTAGCGACTCTCGTGAAACGGCCATTCAACTGGTACATGAATTAACTGAATGGGGTAAGAAAGGCGATTTACTTTTTCGAAAATGGGCATCAAATGACGAATCAGTCTTATCGAATGTTCCGATCAAACACCGAGCAATCGATTCAACGCTTCAACTCAACAAACACGAAGCAATAAAAACTCTTGGCATGAAATGGTCTCCAAAACTTGATCAGTTGCAATTTACGATTGATTTATCGAGTTTCTTTAAAGGAGAACGAATAACTAAACGCAAACTTCTTTCTGACGCTTCTAAATTGTTCGATCCTTGTGGTCTCCTCAGTCCTATCATAATAAAACCAAAACTCATGATGCAGCAAGTCTGGAAATCAGGCATTGAATGGGATAAACCAGTCAATAAAGATATTCAACGTGACTGGAATGAATACAAAACTGAATTGCCTCTTATTGAAAAAATCAAACTCACTCGTTGGTGTCATACAACATTCGAATCATGCACTTCACTTCACGGGTTTTGCGATAGCTCTGAACAAGCCTACGTTGCGTCAATCTACATCGTTCAAACAATTGACAATCGTTCGAATTCAACATTGCTTTGCTCAAAAACACGCGTCGCACCACTTGAACCAATGTCAATTCCTCGATTGGAACTATGCGGTGCTGTTTTACTCGCAACTCTCATGAATAAAGTCGCGATTAATTTGAACATTTCAAAGGAAAATATTTATCTTTGGACGGATTCTTCTGTGGTTTGGACATGGTTACAAGCTCATCCGTCTCATTGGAAGCAATATGTAGCACATCGCGTGCAAGAAATTCAAAATCTTTATCCTTCCAATCATTGGCGACACGTTCGAACACATGAAAATCCCGCTGACATTGCCACACGCGGTGTATTAGCTAGTCAATTAATCAATAATTTTCTATGGTTTCATGGACCATCATGGCTAACGCAAAGCGAAAAGCATTGGCCAAAAATCTCATTAGCTCTCCCTTCTGGAATTGATTTAGAAAAAAGCAATAAAATAAATATCACATTGACTCAAGTAAAGCCAATCGAATCGGATTTTCTACTACGATTTTCAAACTTGATACACTTACTTCGCGTCACTGCACGCATACTACGACGAGCTCCACGTTACAGAAAGGAAAAATCGTCCGAATACGTAACACCCGCCGAACTTGACCGCGCAAAATTGGTTTGGATTAAATACATTCAATCGCTGTATTTCTCCAAAGACATCGCCAACATACAAACAAACAACACCATCGATGATAAAAGTCAACTACGATCACTCAACCCCAAACTCAACGCAAATGGGATTTTAATCGTTGATGGCCGACTAAGGTACGCACAATTACCCGAAAGGCAACGATTTCCAATGATTCTACCATCGAAAAGTCATTTCACGAAATTAATCATCGATTGGGCTCATTTAACAACTCTACATGGCACAATTCATCTGACGTTGGCTCGAACTCGTCAAGAGTTTTGGATTTTAAACGCGCGAAACAATGTTAAATCGTTTATTCATCAATGCATTGAATGTTATCGTCAGCGCCCTGCTCCAATGACTCAATTAATGGCACCTCTGCCAACGATAAAAACGACCCCAGCTCGAGCATTCATTCACTGTGGTTTGGATTTCGCCGGCCCAATCGAAATTAAAAGCGGTGATCGACGAAATTCACCTACCGTCAAGGGATACATATGCGTGTTTGTGTGTATGGTTTCAAAGGCTTGTCATTTGGAAGTGGTCAGCGATTTAAGCACTCAAAAATTTATTCTCGCCATGCGACGATTGATTGGTCGACGTGGCATTTGCAAAGATGTTTATTGTGATCGCGGAACGAATTTCCAAGGCGCCAGCAACGAATTGCCTCAACTTTTTTTGCAAGCATCGTCTTCTGTAACAAACGAAATTGCGCACTTATTTGCATCCGACGGAATTACTTTTCATTTCAATCCACCAAGTGCTCCGAATTGGGGCGGCCAGTGGGAATCCTATGTAAAACTCACTAAACACCATCTTCGTCGTATGACAACAGCGAAAAAACTCACGTATGAGGAAATGAGCACTTTGTTAGTACAAATCGAAGCGTGTATTAACTCGCGACCATTGTGCAGCATCACAAGCGATCCAAATGATCTTGATCCGTTAACTCCCGCTCATTTGTTAATCGGTCAGCCACTTAATGCGATTCCTGAACCAAGTTTATTGTCTCTAAAAGATCAAACCCTCGATCGTTTCCAAACCATCCAAAAATCACTACAAATATTTTGGAAGCGATTTTTCACTGAGTATTTACACACGTTGCACCCCCGGAAGAAATGGGAGCAGCAACAAAAAGAGCTCCGAATAAACGATTTAGTGATTATCGTAGACGATAATACACCACCTGCAAAATGGCTCATGGCAAGAGTCATCGCTATGCACCCAAGCAAAGATGGTCTACATCGCGTCGCAACATTGAAAACTAAAAACGGAGAATGTACTCGTCCGATTGTGAAGTTGTGCAAATTGCCGTTACACGCCTCATCATCTGCCCCCCCGGAGGATGTTCCAAATGAACATAAATGAATTTCATTTAGTTTAAATTCCTTT